GGGTTGACCTGACCAGAAGGACCGGTTGCTACTCTTTTATGAAAACAAGGGTCGGGTGTTGGAAACAAGATGACGCGATGGTTGTCTTCCCCGATCTATACCAGCGGCCCAGAAATGCCAGTAGATGTAAAGGATGGGGTGTCAGTCGTTCTCCCGGAAGATGGGACGTGGACGGACCTTGAACCAGCATATCAAATCGTACTGCTGGAAGGGGAGGACGCGTTCCTATGGATAGAGACGGTGTGGGCTAATGTCAGCTTGACGAGGTTGTCGCCAAGCTTAATGGATCTGGAGTTCCGAGGGACAGTGGAAACCYGGGGGTGGGTCTACTTGTCACAAGACGGGGAGAATGCTATGGTCATAGAGTTGGCACTCGGGAATACACCGGATGAATTGTTTAGGAAGGCAGAAACGGAGGTTATATGGGCTGCGTGTCAGCGGAGGGAAATGAAAATGGAAAGGGTAGATGTGCGGCTGGAACCATGAGGTCCGTCAGAACCATGCGATGCGTGCTGCCTCTTTTCCTGGTGGAAGCGGTTTTCGGAACCCGGAGCAGGCCAGTACAGATATGTCAGTCCATGACGAACCTCGGACTATACCAGTGCGCTAGGCAGGACTTCTTTCGATTGTCGATAGAAACGAGGCCGTTTCAGGGGAACTGGGCGGACGAGCTGACCGAGATACTAAACTGCCTTAGCGTAGACGATGTCTTTGTCTCTAGCTCCGTGCATTGGGGGATAGTCTATAGAAATGTGGCAATAGAGGAAACATTTCTGGAAGGGGTGAAAGAGTTGTTCTACAATGAAGACGACGAGTTCAGTGATGAGAACGAGGATGATGAGATAGAGGACTTAGACTTCTAAGGAGGGTGACTTGACCTAGGGGAAATGGGTGGCCTGGTATTGTGCAGGAAGGGGAAAGATGACTAGAGAGGAAAGGATGATGGAATACACCTTCAAGGGATGGGAACCAAGGCGACTAAAGAGAGGAATAAAAATGCCTATACCAACAGAAAACGAGTGGAGGGGGACCACATGCGACTGGGTCGGGTTTGAGATTGCCCGGGAATTATCATATGTATGGATATAACGGATTTGGAACCCATTAAGGGAAGAGGAAGGTTGGAACGATATAGTAGAAGACAAAGTAAAATCGGTCGGGACGATTGTCCTTTTCGAAGACGGGTGATACCTATTTTGCACTATGTTAGCAATGAGACAGGATCCAATGTGGCTTCTAGGGGATGTGGAGACGCGAACCCAAAAGGAAGGCAAAAGGTTCGCCAACGAGGGATGGGACGAAGTTAGTAGCAGAGTTGTGATGGGGGGATGGGACGAAGTTAGTAGCAGAGTTGTGATGGGGGGATGAAAGGAACTCAAGCCTCCCGACCTGCGTACAACAACGTGGGTGCCCGAGTTTGTGGCCGACTGGTTCGGAGGTTTTAAGCACATCGCAGACGTGGCCGACTCCATGAGGGAAGTACACATAGAGTGTGTCTGGCTGACTGAGAAGTTCTATAGGATCTCATTAAAATATGGGCCCTTCCACGACGATAAAGCCGGGGAGATCATCACCGTCCTAAGGATAGGCAAGTATGACCGCCTAGAGGTAGGCGTGGAGGTTTGGGACGCCATAGTCAGCTGGGAGGCGGCGGCCGCTCCATCATACGTCGATGATGTTTTTAAACTGTTTGAGGTACTATGGTTCGATTAAAAAGGACCGAGAAATCGAACGTCGCGGGGGGGGTCGGAGTATGTGAATTAGGGTGTAGCATAAGAAAGGGGGTGTGTACATTAGTTAGCAGGGTGTGCAAGGGGGTCGAAACAAGGGGAGGTAGCAATAGCCGGAAAAAGGGAAGAAGATCTGTACGTGTAAGAGGCGGGGATAGCAGTAGGAACCGGTGTACGATAGGTAGGGAGTGCTGAAAGACTAAAGCACGAAAGACACATAATCTCGGTGGGTGCAGTAATCGGACTAAAGAAGTAGGAAATGAGACATCGCAAGATGACCCGGTGAATGACATTCTGGGAGGATAGGCCTCGCGGGATCCTACCACCAAGAGCATCGGGGGGCAGGGTCGAAATAAGCTTGCCAACAAGAAACGTGGTAAGTAACCCGGTAATGGACTGGGTGGGGGTAGAATTGGTGGAGAACACGGTGTACCTAGTAATAGAGCTAGAATGGCGTGCGAGAGTGGAGTTCGGGGGCATAAATTTGGACCTCCCAGGATGCGTGCATGCGATGGGATCCTTACGCCCGTCGGAAGAAGGATGGCGGACCTTTGGGATTGTCGTGGCTTCAGGGGATGACCCCGTGCGAATGTTAGAAGGAGCGTGGCAAATAACCTGGCTGGAGGGGTTTGAGTTCGCGGATCCAGATCGAGATGACGTAATGGCTGAAGTAAAAGTCGCCGAGGCAGGGGACTTTAGGTTGCCAAATGAGGTCATACGAATGAGTCTACCACCTTTTTTACTAAGACGGATGAGAGGCATAGAGCGAGTGGAACAGGCGGTAGCTGCCATAACTAGGCTAGATTTTGACGAAGCATTAATGTATCGAGAATACTATCGGGCCTTCCTAGAGATGGGGCCTTTTGAAGACGAACAAGGAGACGAGGTGTTTTGCATACTACGAACAACAGTAAATACTAGGCCAGGGGTTCCGCAAATAAGTGATGAGGCCATGTGGAGAGCCATCCGGCAGGAAGTAGGTCGGGGCGTGACCTACATAGATGACTTTTATCGACTGTACGAGCAGCCAGAGGAGGATGTCGCTCCTGGGGATATGGAGGGATAGTGGGGACCAGAGAAAAAAAGTAAGAACATAGAGGGTAAGGGGGCAGTAGGTGAACGTTTACTGAGGATTGACTGTAACACTTTCCATGTGGACTATGCAGGGAATCGTCAGAACAACAATGGCAGCAAGACGAGTGCGGATGGAATGTCAGCTCCGATACCCCGGACCTCCCTGGTATAACGGTAGAGGGTGGGAAGTGTCCCTACCGTCGAGTCTCGACTTCCGAGGGTTCGATACGGAATGGCGGGCCGTGACTTTGGGGAGGGACCACGCCTTTATGTTGGTAGAGTGTCGGTGGACGGGGATGAGAATCAACTGAGGACTTGGGGATGACCTGTTTTCCAGTTTGGAAGTTACCGGGACCATGTATCTGCCCGAGATTGGCTGACACTCATTGGGGGTGGGGATAGCGCATGGTCACGAACTGGCACCGGTCTTTCGGAGGGCCACTAGGACGCTGACTCGAATAGGTCAATCGGTAAGGGGTAGAAGAAACGTGGAATTGCTCACTAGGGTGGAAATGGGAGGTTGGAGGGAATTCAGGGCACCGACAACTCCGCTGAGGTGCCAGGTCCCCAGATTCATGGTGGACCTCATCTTCGAAAGCGTGAGGGCGCAGGATTTGGCAGATTCGGCAATAATATGGGTAGACCACTTCCCCTTTCAGACCATCGGGATTATCTACGATGTTGCTGTAGAACATGGGCCGTTCTGGGGAAACAGGGTCCACGAGTTATTGGAAGTCATCCATATTCTGATATTTGGGTTGCCAAGGATAGCCTGGGCGGAATACGAACACATAATCCTAAGAGAAATCGAGATAGGAGAGAGTTATCTAGCAAGGGTGGCTCAACTATTCGAGGAGCCTACCGAAACGGAAGGGCCGCGAGGGCGAGAACGGGACTAGCCTCCTGGGGCAGGCCAATGGGGCAAATCGAGTATAAGCCCGCCGATGGAAATAAGGAAGGGTCTCGGACCCGGATGATCAAAACTCGCTAGAAAACAAAGAAGGGAGGATAGACTCCTAATAGTTGCCATGACCCTGAAGGTCGAAAAGGGGAATACTGCCCGGGAAACTTTCCCTAGCAGAATGCCTAACCCGGACTCCTACGCGCCGGCCCGACGGGACAAGGGCGCTCTAAACGAGCTTGTGATAAAGGAAACTAAATCACGCCCTTAGCTCGGCACGGCAGCAGGGCCAGTCGTGGTTCCTTCTTAGGGAAGCAATCAGGAAATAGAAATAGGGAGAAGGTTATTTCCCGAATAAAGATAAGCCAACGAAGCCGGAACCTAGGGAACCTAAATCCCTCGCGTTACGTGTGTCCTGGGGAATCCTCTGGTTTATGCGGAACTAGGCAAAATGGCAACGGAGGACGAGATTGGTAACCGTAAGAGCGAAGGAGGACCAGGCTTAGGAGGCAGTGCCGTACAAAGCGAAGAGGGGCAGAAAGACGGGCAGTTGATAAATCCGGATGGTATCAAAGAAAACCGGAAGGAAATCTCCTCAGGGGAAAGCTCGGGGAAAGCCGGGGGAAGCAGGCAAGGGATGCAGGAAACCAAGGAGGGCAGAAATAAGGATAGGAAAAGCCCCCGGAATTCAGAAGGAGCTGCGTCTAAGAAAGTAAGGGTCACGGATGCGAGGCACAAACTAGCAGAGATAGAAAAAAGGACCGCGGAGTACAAGGCAAGATTGATCGAGGAAATGATGACCGGGAACGAAGAAGGTCCTCGGCAGGAAGAACCGCGGGACGAACGGAGGGCCGACCGAGGCGGAATTGAGCAAGAGGATAAGGGTAGTGACCCTGGGGGAACGCCGCGCAAAAGAAGGAAAGAGAGGGAGAACTCCCCGAGGATGGAGGCAGAGAAAGTTACGAACCCACCAGCTATAGATAGTAGGGCTAGTCGTCTACCGACTACGCCAGCGGTAACGCGAGGATGTGAAGGACTCTGGAGCCTTAGGGAAAGGGTGTTGGGATGGTTCGACCCAGAAGGAACTGCAAAGACTAGGGGGGGATAGAAGGCCGGCAAGGAAGGACCGGATACCAGCATGGCGGGCAAGGCCAGTAGCTCCGAAGGCGGCCTTAGGAAGATAGTATCGTCCCTCGCGTGAGCACTGGACAAAAACCAAGGCTACCTAGCAGATGCTAAGAAAAAGTTGACGTTTGACGGGGCGAACAACACGGAATTCCTGATAGATTACGAGAACCTGGCCGCATTGTTGAAATGGACCGAAGAAGAAAAGATGGACCACCTGGGACAGCATGTGTCTTTGAGTTTGGGGAGGGACATAATGACCATCGTAGCCGCGAGCCGATCCTGAAAGGAAACCCGGGATGTGATGATGAGAAAATACCTGGCGCAGGAGAAGATGGCAACGGAGGCCGATTTAGCGGCAGTCCAGAGAAAAAACTTCGCAACGTACAATGACTTCCTAGGGGAGTTTACTCTGGTAGCACTAAGGATCCCCGGGGTTATGAACCGAGTAATGAGCAAATACTTCCTCAGGCAGTTCTCCGAGTTTGACAAAGACAAGATTCTGTCAGCCTACCAGCAGACAAGCAAGTTCGTAAATACCAGGGATGTTGATTTTAGCACCGTAACGGACCTGGCCGAAAAGACGGTAGTGACCGAGACGTTGGCCTTGCTTAAGGAAGGGGAGGTCATAGACCTGACCGGTAGGACATGCGACAAGGTAAAGAAGGGGATTGAAAGCCTACATGAACGGGTGCACGGAGTCGACCACAAAATTGAAAGGGTGGAGAACGCGCTACAGGTTATGAAGGCGCAGGTATCTCGACCCGCCCTCCCTTCCCCAAAAGCCGTAGTTCCGCCAGGTGTAACCAATCGAGGATTCAGACGGAGAGATCCTGCTAACGAGAAATGCAAGCACTACACCGCGATGGGATATTATGTGCGCGCCTGCCCCAAACTCAACCATGATGTATTAAAAAGGAGATGTACCAGGTCGTTAAAGGGAGAGATATTCGGACCGCAGAGAGAACGGGTGAATTGGAACTCGCCAGGGGGGATGCGACGAGCTATTATCATGCTCAATGGGTTAGAGATAGCAGCGGTAGAAGCTGAGCCGATGGTCGAAATCATCTGGGATCAACTTCGGGGCCGCGGACCGCATGTCAACTTCATTTTGAAAAACGATGGACGTGATAGGGTGAACGCGACTACTCGGCTAGGGACGGCTGGGAGAAGGATTATGCGTGACACCATGATGGAGGAGGTTGCTGGAAGTTCCGTACCCCAGGTGGAGCCTGGGGCCGAGGAACCAGAGAAAGTCTATGGGAAGCCTAGGGAAGAGGAACCTACAGACAAAGTTACCGCCGCTAAAAAAAAGTTTAGGTATCAGATTCCGATCTTAACCATGCCAGAAATCAATCACACCCCTAGCAAATTACTAGGGACCATGGTGTCGGTGTCGTTTCAGACCATGCTGCAGGCCAGCCCTAGGTTGCTCAAAAGGCTTAGACAACTTTTGACTCGGCGGCGAGTAGAAATAGACGAGAACCCCGACGCACCGGAAGAAGAAAGGGAGGAGGAAGCCCCGCAAGTCGCCAACCTTCAGAGGAGTTGCGGGGATCTGGAGGATCTCGAGAAGGCCTTTGCGGACATCCGCCTGAGCTTACCGGACCGAGAAGGTGGTGAGGTCTTGAGGGCACCTCCCGGAACAAAACTTAGCTTCCATGCACTACCCATGGGGAAGTTGAAAATCCAGATCGGGACTCATCATACCGACGCATTAGTAGACGGGGGAGCGAAAATCACTGTCATAAGGAGGGATTTCGCAACGATCACGGGCTGTACGGTAAATAAGGAAGTAACAGGGAGCATCCGGGGAGCCGGTGGGGAAATCCCATTCGCTGGGTACGTCACGAAATGCGCAGTCAAGGCGGAAGTCAGGGAGTCAATCTGGTCGTTCCAACGGATAACAGTAATGGAGGAAATGAACCACGATATAATCGTCAGGAGACCGTGGTGCGCAAACGTAGAAATGATAGGCATGCACTTCCACGATGACACGTACATGGTAGACATAGAGGACCCAGTGACCGGCCGGGGAGAGCTCCTTCGACTTCTAGGGACAGGAGGAGACCCTCCGAAGGGGAAATTGGCAACATGGTCGCCGTCGTTCGAAGATAGCGCACGAAAGGCGGCCTTTGCGCGGATGGAGGGCATGAGAGAAAGGGTAGAAGTTATAATTGAGGAAGCGTTCAACAAGAAGGAATGGATCAAGATGGGCCTGCCCCAGAAGAAGAGGAGGCAGGAGGACGAAATCTTGGGCGTTATGGTAGCAGAAAAGGAATCAGAAGTCGAACTCAGTGCCAGCCAGCCTAGACGGAAAGAAGTACGCATGAATGTGCTAGAAGTTGCACTCGAGATCCCCGATTTGTTACAGCTCATCAAGGCCCTCAGATACCACAAGGTAGGAGTGGACTCGGCGGCCCTGGCCAAATTCGAAGGAGAGGTGCAAAAGAGATATTGTCTGAATGAGAAATTTGTCAGTATTCAACCATGAATCGCAGAGGCGACAAGGGTAATCCCGACCGTTCATTTTTTAGGAGAAAAATCCCGGAAGGAAGTGTTCGAAAGTACAAGCCTGTAGGAAAGAAAGCAAAACCGGTCTCGATCCAGCTAGGGACATCAAAGCAAGAAGCTATGGAGAAGGAGGAGGAAGTCCTTCGAGTGATCCAAGAGAGGAGAGCGACGGAAGGGCATCGAATACCAGATGAGGTAGCTGATACAATGAAGATAGGGGTAGACGGATTCCTAACGGAAGAGGAAAACCGCCTGATCAAAAGAACCTGCCAAGAGTTTCACCTGGCATTTGCCATTAGTGGTCACAAAAAAGGACGACAGGACGCAAAGCTGATTCCTCCGGTCAGAATCCACACGGTAGAGCATGAGTGCTGGAATGACAAGGGTCCGTCCTATGAATTAGGGATAGCAGGGGAAGTGACAGACCTTCTCCGAGCAAAGATGGATTCCTTCGTCACAGAACCTACAGCGTCGCCATACGCGAACCGGTGGTTCGTCTTTCGGAAACCCAACAAGACGCTGAGGTGGATTCAGGATCTGCAGAAGTTGAATGAGGTAACCATCTGGGATGCTGGCCTGCTGCCTCAGGCTGATTTATTAGCAGAGTCGCACGTTGGTCGGAGCATTTACTCCCTGATCGATCTGTACTCAGGGTACGACCAGCTTCCATTGGATGTCCGGGACAGACCGTACACCGCAATACACACCCCCGTAGGACAATTGCAGATGCAGGTGACCCCTATGGGCTTTACGAACGCCGTAGGCGAAGCACAAAGGAGAATGCTCGCCGTAGCCGGAGACATGTTTCCAGAAACGTGTGAGCCCTATGTCGATGATAACCCAATCAAAGGCGCTCAAGAGAAGGACGAGACTGAAGTCCAGCCGGGAATTCAAAGATTTGTATGGGACCATCTACAAGAAATCAAGGACTTACTCCGCCGGTTCCTAGTATACAACATTACGGCTAGCGGACCAAATAGTATTTTAGCAGTACCGGAAGTAACCATACTAGGATTTCGCTGCGGTGCTTACGGTAGGAAGCCAGATCCGGCAAAGACCGACAAGATATCACAGTGGCCAACGCCCCTGCGCACGACAACGGAGGTAAGAGCATTCCTAGACGTGGTCGGCTTTTGGAGGATCTTCATTAAGAGTTTTGTCAAGATTGCTGAGCCTATCTGGGCTATGATCAGAGAAGAAGGGACCGTGGATTGGACGGAGGAGCGAGAGGGAGTCGTCCAAACCCTCAAGGACATACTGACATTTGAGCAAGTCGCCTTGTCCGCACCCTGTTTCAATGACGAAGTGGGACGACCCTTCATCATAGAGACGGATGGAGGACCCTTGACCGTCGGAGGCTTGCTGATTCAAAAGGATGAGGAAGGGAAAAAGAGGCCAATTAGGTTCGAGAGTAGAACCCTGAACTTCTCATAACGGCGGTACTCACAATTTAGAAGGAGGTCCTAGCCATCTTGCATTGCCTCAAGACCTTCCAAGCCTACCTATTTGGCGGGCGGTTCATCCTTAGGATCGCCCCGACGAATGTTGCGGGGGCCTTAAAGAACCACAGGCCTATAGATCCGACGGTGGGAAGCTGGGTAGGATTTATCTGGCAGTTCGATTACAAAATCGAACGGATTGTGGGAATCAGAAACAATGCTGACGGGCTGAGTCAGGTCTGCATCACTCCCAAAGGGGTGGAGGAAGCAGAGCCGATAGACGCATTCCTCGAATACGAAGGAGGAACTCTTGCGGTGGATAACGAAATAATGGGCGAAAAATGCGCGTCCGGAGAGCTGTTGATCCGAACTTTGGAGAAGGGGGCACCTGCCGTAGTAGCAGAACTTAGAGAAGGACCAGTCAGCACTCGAGGTCGCAAAGAGGAGAAAGATTCCTGGGGAGCGATAGTAGGACCAAAGGAGGAACTAATAGCAATGGCGGTTGAGGGAGGCCGGGACACCGTGATGAGCTTAGTGGAATCTTGAAAAAGGAAAGAGTTGTGATGGATGGTGAACTAGATCATGCAGGAAAGAAAGGATGAGGACCAGAAAGGGAATGAGTTTTTATATGCCCAGAGATATGAGGGGAACTTTCGAGAGATCGGGTTGTTGCTGGTAGGAAACAAACAACCTATGAAAGTTAGCATTAAAGCAAGGGAGGAGACCGAAAGGTACGTCCTAAGAGGCGGTCATTTGTTCCGAAGAGAAGTAGGTGTTATGCCTAGAAGAGTTGTGTGCAGAAAATCTAGGCAGCTAGACGTTATCTGGGCAATGCATGACGGATTAGCAGGAGGACATCGATCGTCCCAAGAAACTCGTGCAAAGATAACGACACTTTATTATTGGTCAGGCATGGTAAGCATGGTCGCCATATACTGCCAAACATGCCTTATCTGCCAAGAACGAAGCTTGACACGTGTCTTTGAGCCGCTTAGACCTACGCGGGTGCTAGGGCCGGGACATCTGGTCCACCTTGACCTTGCGGTCATGCCTGTATCAACAGATGGGTACTGGTATATTTTAGATGCGCGAGACAACTTGAGTGGATTCGTGGAGGCGGTCGCTCTAAAATAAAAGACAGGGAGAAATGTAGCGGACTAGATAGAAAACTTATGCTTGAGGCATCCTTTCGTCACGAGGTTTATAGCGGACAATGAGACATAATTTGTGAACCAAGAGGTACTGGGAATGCTTAAGAGACTTTGCGTACCGATCAAACTCATCGAGCCGTATCACCCGGAGGCCAATGCACATGTGGAAAGAGGGCACCGAACCTTAAAGAACACGATTGTGAAGCTCACAGCGGATCATCTGAGAAACTAGCCTAGGTATCTCAAGCAGGCCGTCTTCTCAGAGAATATGACACCTAAGAGGACAACGGGATGTATCCCAGCAGAACTTTGGTACGGGAGGGAGATCGACTTTCCCGTTGAGGCCTTGATACCTACCTGGAATAGGTTAGATGATGATCCGCAAATGACCACAGAAGAGTTAATCGAGGCAAGGTGTCAACAGGTCCTTAAGAACGAAGAGGTCATGGAAGACATCGCCAATCGGGTGCTAGACAGCAGGATGAGGGACAAAGCAAGGTGTGACCATGTTAAGAATGTCAGAAAGGAACCACTTCAAGTGGGGGAGACAGTATTGCTAAGGAACTCGACACTAGAAAGTACTTAGTCTGGACAGCTGGGGAGGAGGTTCAAAGGCCCCTACCGGGTCGCCAAGCGGGTGAAACTAAACACCTTCGAACTGTAAGATTTGGATGGAACTGGATTGAAAGGATCTTTCCCGAGGCAACGATTGGTCAGGTTTCTAAGTCGGGACCCAGTGGAACAATGGCTTCAGGAGGCCGAGGATAAGGAAACTGAGGGGCTACAAGCTAAGGACTGACAACGGCCTTGCCCACACTATGGTTGTGTCTCTGACCACGTCCGTGGGACTGTCATTTTTTTGGGGCTGGGGCAATGGTTTGGACTGACTGAGGTTGGAAGGCAGGATGACTTGGGAGTTTGCGGTAACGAGTTTGTGTGACAATGGGAATGATTATCGGGAGCATTGTATCATAGTTTTTGATGGGGAAATAATGGAATCATCTCAAGCGGGGCATTTCGCAAAAGGAAAGGAAATGCATAATAGTGGCATGATGCGAAGGATACTGGGAGCAGTCTGGGAAAGGGGAACTGCCTACCGGACTGGGGAAACGGGTGTATGAGGGGTTTTGCGGGTGTTGTTTTGTTAATACAGGATCTAGAAGAAAAACACAAAATACAAATATGGAATTCGGCAAAGAATATGACAGCGGGACGGTCAACAGGCCTACCGGAGGGGAAGAATCGGGACCAAGTCGAGGGAGGAGGACAACAAAGAGAAAGTTGTACATAGGGCTCATAGCCGGGCCAGTGGTAGGCAGGGGTGGAAGAAAGTGCGTATATAGAAGACCCTCGCCCCTCGGGGAGGGAGAAGGTATAAAGATCTCATCTGAGAGTGAGGGCGAGAAGGAAAGGGCAAGTGTGGGAGAAGGGGGCAATGCGGACATGGAAAACAAGGCACAGGCCTCTGACGAGGAAGGAGCCAACAGGGGCGAACGACATGAGACTTGGTGTGGGGAAAGCGAGGGCGGACAAGACATGCACGACGAGCGTGAGGATGGAGAGGAGAGAAGAGAAAGCCCGCTTGAAGGACGAAGCGGCCACGACAGTTATGAGGGGTATGGGACAAGAACAAAGATTCCTTATACATACGATCCAAAGAACCTAATGGGAGGGTATAGCCCCAAACAGATAGAGGATGAGGAGGAGGATGTACAAGAAATCATAGAAATCAGCAGCGCAGATGAGAGGGATGAGATCTTGAGGCCTAGGGAAGAGAGACGGTCTCCGATGCACCAGCCGCGCGAAGAGACCCCCAGATGGGAGGATGAGTTTGGGCCGACGCCCAGTCATTGGTTTCCGCAATGGACCAATGTGATCAAGCATGAGTGGATCATCAAGACCCGGGAACTCGCAAAGGCGGGGGTGGAAACCACGCCGTTGGACTTTTTCAATAAGGCAGAACTACAAGAAATTGCAAGGAAAAAGAGAGAAATCAAGACCTTCGGCCTGGGGGTTAGAAAGCCCGCCGAGGAACAGGGTGGACAAGGAATCTAGAAAGTTGAGGCACAAGGCAACAATAGGAATTAGATGTTGATTAAGTGTTGAATGGGAACCTTGCTTTCTCAATTGCAAAATATTGGAGCGACAAGAATGTGTATACTATGAGTAAGTGTGCTAAGGATGAGTGATGAAAGGACCAACTAAGACTGTGTCACGATAAGTTAGAAGATAGCATTTTGAGGCTACTTTCTGGATGAACTACCTTCGAAAGTGGGTACACAAGACGATGACATGGGGCATGGGATGAGACCAGTTGGGAAGGGTGTATTGTGAATTTTGGATGGAATGAGGATTGTGCTTTTGAGAAGAGAAACGTTGAGTACAGATTGACGAACGAACCATGGCATTGAATGTTGGTCGAATACAAGAGAGTTTAGGGAACCTATGGGTTAAGGGGCGTGAAGAACACTCCTTTCCTAGGATCCTAATCCAACTGAGTCATGAATGAGTCTGAGAATAGTTGAGATCTGCGTCATCGGAATGAGTGAAAATAAGAGGGGGCGCCCCTGTCTTTTGCTAAGATTGAACGGCCGGGTGGGCTAGTGCTGCTTGGGGTCGCGAGCCCCAACTCGAGTACTAGACGCTAAATCGGATGTATGCATGGATAGTACATTGCTGTGAAAAATGGACAAAGGGAGCTGCACACATAAAACTGAAAAAAAGATAGCCGCCTTCTAACTTCCGAGACATAAATGGGATCCGTGTCCTCGAGGCCCACCCCCTCGGGCGCTAACATTGAGGATGGAAAGGAATGACCCTAACCAGACGGTTCGACTTGAGAATGGGAAGAAATGACCCTAACCAGACTGTTCGACTTGAGAATGGAAAGAAATGACCCTAACCAGGGTGTTCGACTTGAGAATGGAAAGGAATGACCCTAACCAGACTGTTCAACTTGAGAATGGAAAAGAACGACCCTAACCAGGGTGTTCGGGAATGACCCCTGACAAGGGTTATTCCTTTTGAAATAGGCACTGGGGTCCCCTGGATAATTGATTGAGAAAGGTTGATTAAGAAATAATGATTGAGAATGAGCTGCAATGAGCAATGAGAGATGGAAAAGGTCGGTGGGTCGGTCATTGAAATAGTCAATGAGATGGATGAAAGAGATGGAAAATGCCGGTGGGTCGGTCATTGAAATAACCAAGAGGATGGATGAAAGAGAATGAGAAGGGCAAGAGAAAAAAGGCCGAACCTTAAAGTCAAGAAGGGCAGGGACCGTTGGGACGGTCACAAGGATAGGGTGTTGAGAAATGAGAGAATTGAGGATTGAATGGGCCGAAGGGTCGGTCTTGAGAAATGGCTATTGAAAGAACGACCACCAGATCGGTCATGTGGGTGACCTTGTTGATGAGAGGCTGCCGGACTAGCCATGAGAATCAGCCTTGGAAATAACATGGGATTGAGTGTTTGAGAATTGGATATTGCATTGCATAGTCAGGGGACCCTAGGCAACTTGATGTAAGGTCGTCGGGCNAGCCTTGGAAATAACATGGGATTGAGTGTTTGAGAATTGGATATTGCATTGCATAGTCAGGGGACCCTAGGCAACTTGATGTAAGGTCGTCGGGCCGACCATGGAGATAGCAAGAGATTGAGCTTTGCTTTTTCTTCTAGTCTCAGGTCTCAACATAAGGGGGATAGCAATGCCTGCATCGCGACCCCAAGACCTCTACCCGTTAAGGGAAAAGTCTCAGCGCGACCTGCTCCTCGTTAGAAGGAATAAGGGTTGAAGGACCAAAGCACCTTTCTCTTTGATTGATGCTGGCCATCCGGAACTAACCCCGACAACGAGCTCTAGTCGGGGAGTTCAAACTGCGCCTCATGTTGAGAACCTAAA